TGCCTATGCGATTCAACAGTAGAGAGTTATTCGCGGTATTTTCGTCTCGTTTATTTTAACTACTTTATGACTATTAACAACATAAGCGAAAGCAATCTCTGGGGCCTGATATATTTTCCAATTGCAATAATCCCGGTCAGTAGCTAAGTCGCTGCCTTGTACCCAATTCTTAATTCATATTTAGTATTTTCATTTTTGAATCATTCAAACGAACACATTTAGCCCCATGGCGTATATCGGTCTTCGTCGCAAGTGTGGAACGACCGAGGACCGAAATTAATTAATTTGTTTTGGTTCGATCGGCGCCGTCGGCGTTCGATGAATCGATTTTTTTTGTCACCGCACGATCGGATCGTCATGAACTAGTGGGATTCGGTAATTCAATACTTTTAAGTGATTGAATCAAAATGAACGAATCAAGCACGATTGATACAACACTCATTGGATACTTGCACTTGCGGGGGAGAACTGTTAAGAAGCACGGGTGATGCAGATACTACAGTGTCACTATCCGCAGTTTGTTTTCGAGTAGTTTGAAAACTGACCTGTGAAAAGAGAAGCTGGTCTGTTACATATTGATTACCATAATTGATTTCATAAGTTGGCCTTTGAGGCTATTGTGCCTGAGCTTGAATAATTGCAGAACTAAATGAAGCACTTATAGTTATTTCTTTCGTCTGTTTGAAATGATTGGAGAAGAAATCATCATCATCAATGGCGCTACAACTCTTCGTGAGTCTTTGCTGCGTTTACTATTGCCTTCCATGTTTGTCGGTCCTGTGCCAGTAATTCCCATTGTCGCATTCCCATCTTCTCTAGATCTTCTCTGACTGCATCTTTCCACCTTTTTCTAGGCCGCCCTACAGACCTTCTTCCATCTGGCCTTTCCCAGAACACATTGGAGAAGAAATCATCATTCAAAAATGTATTTAACTTCTTTTGTCCATTTATATTCAAATCAGTACTTTTAATAATCTTTTTACTGAAAGTGTTTGCCTTTAATGGTGTATAAACTTTAAATGCCTGTTTAGTCTCCGGTTTTTCTTCTCAATGCCATAAGTCGTCAGCCAAGTTTTTCAAAGTATCCAACTACGATATCAGCCCCAAGCTGATCAATATATTGTCTCATTCTACATTTAGAGAGGTCTCGTTCATTAGAACTAACAACGTTCGTAATTCTCGCTATATTAGACATAACATAACATGCATTGCACTAGAATATTTTATAATTTCTACCAATTTAAGTAAGAGTTTATTATAGTTAAATATAGTATAATAGAAGTGTACAAGTTAGAGATAAGTGGCGAAGAGAATAAAAACAGTGACCCTTAATGCGTTTCAACAGCAGAGTTATTCGCGATATTTACGTCTCGTTGTTACCGGAACAAAAATCAGACCGAGGTGTGCAAACATGCGTTTTAGACGAACATCTAAGGTAGAGAAGTAAAGGAAGAGCGAAAGTGTCTTTCGTATGATCACCACGATCAGATAGTCATTTTTGTTTGTTATTTTAAAACTGTCTGTATGTCTAAAGGGTGGGGTTAAAATTAGATAGGAATTATTAATTAGATTTGGATCAAGTAATGGTTTGTAACGATAAGACTACCAAAGAGAATTGAAAAACTATTATAAAATAATACCTCAATCAACCATGGGGGCTTATCGTCTATGCTTCACTTAGCTCAGTCGCGCAAGTGTGAATCCGTCTTGTCTTAACTATGAATTAGACAATGAAAATTTAGCTGGTAACAAATAAAACAATGATTTAACTAATCATATTTATTCAACATAAAACAAAGCAAAAACAACCCTGTTTAGAGCTTTACAATAAATAAATCTGAAGAAACATTCCGTAGAATTTCTTCCTTGTCAATACTTCACCCCAAGAGATTTTTGCAGGCGATAAAATGAACTTTATTCCATATTACCTTCTATTATAAATTTTAATTACAGGCAAAAAAGAATATTCTCACTACATTTGAGAAGCTGATTGACAGACAGTGGGGATTTACTTACAATGAATTTCTGTTCTGTCAACATAGAACAGAATATTTGGTCTACCGGTCAGAAACAGAGAGAGCGAATATTTATTCTACCGGAATGAAAGAGAGTGATACCTTTTTTTGTTAAAATAATATATCTTTAATATTTTTTATTAAAAATACCAGTAACTTGAAGAGCAAAAAAGATAAGTGCAAATGTATGCACATATGTGGCGCCCTTATCAGCTACGTCAAAGTGTACATCAAATTATAATTTCTGATATTTATTAATACCCAGTTGTAAATTTTTATACGTAAATATTGACAAACATGAAAGTTATAGCGAAAAATAAAATTTTAAATTTCCACTTTAACACCCTGTATCTTTCTTAATTTCAACATTTTATTAAAGCAACTTGACTTAAATCGTAATACTTTAAGGTGTAAAATCTACGGTTTCTTTTTGTACAATTACTTAAGACCACCCTGTATACCGCAGATTTTACACTTTAAAATATTACGATTAAAGCGAGCTTGCTTTAGTAAGATCTTGATATTAAAAAAGATACAGGGTGTTAAAGTGAAAATTTAAAATTTTATTTTTCACTATAACTTTCATGTTTGTAAACATTTATGTATAAAAATGTACAACAGGTTACTATTGAATATCAGGAATTATAATTTGATGCATACTTTGATATAGCTAATAGAGGGCGCCACTTATGCCACATACATGGCATCCATTTGCTCTTAACTTTTTTATGCTTCAAGTTATCGGTATTTTTGATAAAAAATATTAAAGATACATTATTTTACCAAAAAAAAAGGTATACCTGTTAATAACTTCAAAACTTAACAGTTTTCAAGATAATCGTATTTTACAAATCAACTGCATAATTCTGATTTAACGCAATTACTCCAGGCAATGAAAGAAAAATAGATAAAAACATCAATACTTCTAAATTTTGTTATAAAATACCTTTATTAAAGTTAATAGTTAACGAAATATTAAATAAAATAAATATATCAGCAGGATAATTAATACTGGGATTTAATGAAATAACAGAATAATTGGATTTTACATCAAACATTTTACGTTTTGTAATAAATTAAAGACATAATCAAAACATTTTATTTACGAACCAAATTAAGAAATAATTAAACTAAATAACATTAAACTTTTTGTCAAACTAAACATTCGATATATCCACCATTTTCGTTATTTCATTTGTCAATACATTCAATAAAATATGATCTCATATTAAATAGCATCATTGGTTCTAAATAAACTGCTGAAGTACTTATTATAAGTACTATAAGTTTAATAATAGGTATTCTTTTGGGATTTTTATTAATTAAATAAATATATTAATATCTCACCACATGACCAAGGAATATGAATAAAATTATTTTATAAAAAATGTAAATAAATATCACCATTCAAATTGCAAGGTAATTCGCATATCCGTAAAATATCATTCAAAATTCGTATTTAAAATACATGTCCTGTGGTTTGGAACCATTGGTAATTATTTTTTTCGGATATCCGAATTACCTTGCAATTTGAATATCGAGAGTTATTTACAGTTTTTATAAAATGATTTTATTGATTTATTGGAAGAATTGTCATCAAACTTAAGGCGAAATATGTGGTTTCCACAAGATGGTACATCATTACATTACAGAGAAAACGGAGTGAGACAGTATTTAAATACAACTTTCCTGAACGTTGGATTGTTCTTGGTACATAGTTATATTCTTGTGGTGAGATATTAATATAATTATTTAATTCATAAAAATTTCAAAAAATTACGTATTATTATACTTATAATACTTATAATAAGTACTGCAGCAGTTTCTTTAGAACCAATGATGCTATTTAATATCAGACGATATTTTATGGAATGTATTGACAAATGAATTAAAGAAAATGGTGGACATATCGAACACTTACTTTGAAAAAAAATTTAATGTTATTTAATTTAACTGTCTCTTAATTTGATTTGTAAATAAAATGTTTTGATTATGACTATGACTAATTTAATACAAAACGTAAAATGTTTGATTTAAAATCCAATTATTCTGTTGTTTTATCAAATGCTATTATTAATTATCCTGCTGATATATTTATTTTATTTGATATTTCGTTAACTATTAACTTTATTAAAGGTATTTTATAACAAAATTCAGAAGTATTGATGTTTTTATCTATTTTTCTTTCATTGTCTGGAGTAATTATCTGGCGTTAAATCAGAATTATGCAGTTGATTTGTAAAATGCGATTATCTCGAAAACTGTTGTTTTGAAGTTATTAACAGGTATAACTTTTTTTTTGTCAAAATAATGTATCTTTAATATTTTTTATCAAAAATACCGATAACTTAAAGAACAAAAAAGTTAAGTGCAAATGTATGCTACGTATGTGACATATGTGACGCCCTCTATTAGCTATATCAAAGTATGCATCAAATTATAATTCCTGATATTCAATAGTAACCAGTTGTAAATTTTTATACATAAATGTTGAAAAAGTTATAGTGAAAAATAAAATTTTAAATTTCCACTTTAACACCCTGTATCTTTTTTAATATCAACATTTTATTAAAGCAAGTTGGCTTAAATCGTAATATTTTAAAGTGTAGAATGTGCGGTTTCTTTTTGTACAATTACTTAAGGACCACCCTGTATATATATATATATATATATATATATATATATATATATATATATATATATATATATATATATATATATTAGAACATAGTTGAGTTCTCGCCATCAGAACACCAGCTGCGCTTCTCCCAATGCCATGAAGGTTAGATCAGGGGCGTAACATTACGTGACATATACACGATATATTTTATAAATTTTGGTCGATTTTCACGAAAACCTTTTTATACAATAGTTTTTTTTGAGCGGACTTAATAATTTCCAATTTTTAACAATCGGATTAGTGCTAATCTTTAAATCCAATAAATATGTACTTTTATGTCTAATAAATCCTTATAATTTTTTTAGCTCCATTAGCTTTAAAGCAACAAGCACGAATAGAGAGATTACGATTAGAACTAAACACAGAAAAGGCTAAATTACTTTTAATGAAGCAAGAAATTCAAGAATTAGAGAAAAGTAGACTTCAAAGTGAGATAAATGCAGAAATTGAGAAACATTTAATCAAAGAAATTAAACATCTTCGATTTCAATGTAATGATTTAGAATTAGATGGTAAGCAAGTTATAATTTTTCCAAATTTCATTCTGATTTTTATTAGTATATTTGTCGTTTTCCTTTATAAAGTAGGGGCTACTAATTTGTAAAACTGCAGCGAAAGTCGTAAACTAAATAAAATACTTTTTTACATCCAAATATAGTGTAAAATTCATACAAACAATTTCCAGCTACGCTGACATAATTATAAAAATTAAAACGAAACTAAGGCCAATCTAACGAAACTAAAGAGATTAAATGCACACTCTAAATAATTGCAATTCTATTGAAATCAATTCAAAATATATCAATAAAACTGTTCGATATAAATATGGAGTAGTTGATTAGTTATATATTTAGAACATAATATGAAAAAGAAACTAAATCTTTAAAATAGACAATAAAATTGTTTTTATTTTTAAAGCACGATGTGAGAACAGCTGTTCCTGTAACTTTTTGAAATATTTAACGACGCCAGCAACTTTTGTATGATATAATCCTTTACATTATTTTCTGAAAGTCATTAAGTTATGAATAAGTCATGCGAAGGATCACAAAACCACAACCCCATACTAGTAGAAATAGGAACATGGGAAGAAAGCAACACAACAACAAGAAAAAGAAAGAAAACAAAGTGGTTGTGAGTATTGGAATCAACAACGTCCCAGTGATAAACGGTCCTCAAGAAATAGAAGAAAGAGTCCTAGAGTTCGAAAACACTGTACAAGAAGCACTCAGAAATAGCACTACTGAAGAAGAAATAGACATAAACTAGGAAATCAAAGACATGGTAAGGGAAAAGAACAGAGCCAAAAAAAGAGCTAGAAGGACAAGAAACCAGTAGGACAAAAACATGGCAAATCGACTAAACAGAGAAGTGAAAACAGCACTAGCAGAACACAGAAGCCGACAATGGGATAACCACGTTCAAGAAATGGAAGAAAGATCCAAACATGCAAAACATGTGGAAACTACAAAAAATATTAAGAAATGATAGTAATTACTATTTAAATGGGAATAAGCCACAATTAAAGGTTAACGTTAGTTTATTGACGTTTCAATTTCCTCTTCGGAAATCGTTCCCAAAATACAAACATTAGTAAATTAAACAAATTTTGTTTTTGTGTTACTTGGTGAAAAATTCTTCTAATTTATTTTTATCTGACTCAGTTATATTGACAATTCAGACATATATTATACATTTTAAAGTAGATGACTTTAAAATGATATTGCCAATAATGTTGAGTTGCGCTCCTGGGACGACTTTACTTGTACGATTCATTCGATTACATGAAATCAACTTTAACTTGAGAATATCCGTCACAAAAATAGCATGTAATTCGTCTTTAAAAAGACAAACATATGCCATGATGACAGTAAAATTCCCCTGTTGGTGATTCCATAGTAAATTATGAGGGAAAAACCAGGAAAAAAACCTCATAATACTATCTTGACATGGTAAGTATTTGGTCGTGCATCTAGTTTACTTTCCATAAACATAAAATTCTCATATTTTATGTTTGTTATTTAAAAAACATAAATGATGTATCCTCTATATGTTACTGACTTACTAATACTGGTATTTTCCTTTTAATAACTTCCTCTTTTAATATGGGTAACCAGATCTTACTACATTCTGCCGATGAATTTGCGACACAATTGGTCTCATTTAGCATAATTAGAGCCGCTTCTTTGATTTCTCTCTTTTTACCATCCGTTTCTTTTAGGACTATATTTGAATCATTCCATTAAACCCTATGTTCATTACCCTATGCGCGTTTACATATTTGAAGTCTATAAGATTGATGGTCACTTATTCTAACATTTAATGGCCTTGATATTTCACCTACATAAAACTGATCGCATTCACAAGGTATTTTATAAATACAATTCTTTATCCTTTCTTGTTTAATGTTAGGTTTGGTTGAATTTATTTCCTATCCTTTTAAGTTTGTCTGATAATCATTTTATGTATGGTATTGTTATTTTCCTCGTATTATTCCTTGTGTATACTGTAGAATCTCGTTCTAAGTTGTTCTGTTCTATTCGGTCGATTTTTGAAAATTCCTTATTTATAAACGATAAGGGATAATCATTTTTAACAAAACAGATGTTAACAAATGTTTTTCCTCCAAGAACGAATTTTCGTTAGAACATGTAATTTTGGCTCTATCGTATAAGGATTTAATGAGTCTCATATCCAGTATCGTTCTTAGAGATTAAAACATCCAGGAAAGGTAGTGTGTTATTATATACATTTTCTATGGTAAACGATATTGTCTCTTCTTGATCTTTTAACTCTTTTTTCAACAACATTCAAAACAACAAACACATTGAGATCTATTTTGTCTAAAACCAAACCTAACAATGAACAAGAAAGGACAAAGAATTGCATTTATAAAATACCTTGTGAATGCGATCAGCTTTATTTAGGTGAAACATCAAGGCCATTAAATGTTAGAATAAGTGAACGTCAGTCTTTTATTAAAAATTGAGAAATCGATAAATCTCAAATATGTAAACATGCATGGACATAGGGTTCAATGGAATGATTCAAATACAGTTCTAAAAGAAACGGATGGTAGAAAGAGAAAAATCAAAGAAGCGGCTCTAATTATGCTAAATGAGAGCAATTGTGTAGCAAATTTCTCGGCAGAATGTAGTAGGATCTGGTTACCCATATTAACATATAGAGGATCATATATGTTTTTTAAATAACAAATATATAAAATCAGAATTTGGTGTGTATTAAAAGTAAACTAAATGCACGACCAAATACTTACCATGTATCGAGCTAGTATTATGAGGTTTTTTCCTGGTTTTTCCCTCATAATATACTATGGAATCACTAACAGTGGAATTTTACTGTTATATTGGCATGTGTTAGTATTTTTAAAGACGAATTACATGATACGATTTTTTGATTTTTGATATGATATTCTCAAGTTAAAGTTGATTTCCTGTAATCGAATGAACTATCTTACAAGTAAAGTCGTACCAGGAACGCTACTCAACAATATTGGCAATATCATTTTAAAGTCGTCTACTTTAAAATGTATAATTTTTGTCTGAATTGTCAATATAAATGAGTCAGATAAAATTAAATTAGAAGAATTTTTCACCAAGTAACAAAAAAATAAAATTTGTTTAATTTACTGTTTGTTTTTTGATTTCCGAAGTAGAAATTGAAACGTCACTAAACTAACTTTAACCGTTAATTGTGGCTTATTCCCATTTAAATAGTAATTACATTAAATTGCCACAAGAAAGTAGCTTCAGAACAATATTAAGAAATGATAGAAAACCCATACCCCCACTACACGGTGAAAATGGAATTGTATACACCATAGGTGAAAAAGCCGAGATGATAAGGAGGACTCTCTCTCTCTCTCGAGAGTGTACATTAAATTATCACTAAGACGAAAATGTAGACTTCATCGAAGAAGTCGAGGAACAACAAGAAATACCCGAAGAATCGAGGAAATAATCACATCTACATCTCCTCAATAAATAAAGGAACTAATTAAAAATAGCTCACCGAGAAAAGCACCTGGTCTAAATGAAATTTCAAATAGAGCTCTGAAGTATCTACCAGCAAAAGCAATAGGACTTTAAACCAACATAACTAACGCGATCCTTAGATACAGGCACTTCCCAAATCGATGGAAGGAATCCCACGTTATTATGATTCCGAAGCCAGGAATACCATGTTTCCGCAAAACTACAGGTCGATAAGCTTACTGCCAGCAGTCAGCAAGATCGTAGAAAGAGTAATACTAAGAAGACTACAAGCTGAAACATATGAAGTAGGACTAATCCCAGAAGCTCAGTTCGGATTTAGAGCAGAACACTCTAGCGAATTACAAGTACTTAGACTGACAGAATACATAACAGATGAATTTAACGAAAAATAGTACAAAGGAGCAGCGTTCCTGTATGTAAGCAAAGCCTTCAACAGAGTCTGGCATAAAGGCTCAATATGCAAAATGAGAGACTGATCTCTTCATACTTGAGCAACCGAAGTTTCAGGGTACGAACCGGACAAGTACTATACGAGCTCCGGAGGATGGAGCGCCACAGGGAGCAGTCCTGTCACCTCTATTGTACACAATATACACCGCAGATGTTCCAAGACCATCAGGAACACTATTCAACCTTTATGCAGACGACACAGCGATTGCGGCCAAACACAGAAACTTAGAAGTAGCGGTCAACAATCCACAAACAGCATTGGATAACATTGAATAATGGTGTATCCAATGGAAAGTAGCAATCAATTCAGAAAAGATACAAGCAATCATATTTAAAAAGAAAACCGAAACCCCAGAGGAACAGCTATTAGTGCAAGATAATCCCATTGAATGAAAAAGAGAAGCGAAATACCTAGGAGTCACTATGGACCAAGGCTTAACCTACACCCAACCAGTGGACACAACCATTCAAAACACAGTAACAGCCAGAGCAGCAATCAGAGGACTCATAGGCAGAAAAAGCAAACTGCGCATAAAGACGAAAATAAGACTGATAAACAGCATCATACTTCCAATTATGGCATATGCTTCTCTCGCATGGCGACACATAAGCAATTCAAATAAAAAGAAAATACAAGCAGTCCACAATAACATCCTCAGAGAAGCGGCAAATGTACCCAGATACGTCGCTGAACGCTTTCTGTTTAGAGAACTGCAACAAGGGTGATAGATAAAATGACAAGAAATGCCAGAATTAGGTTTGCAGAATTAGAGAATCATCCAAACCAGATCCTGCGAGAGATAAGATATTTTGCATTCCATCGATGGAAGCTCAAAAGACTAAAACAGCAAACCCTGGCAAACACATAAAGTCTAGATAATTTGTAGCTCTACCAGCAGAAGAGGCCTCAGCACGCAGCACTGGAAATTTTATTAATTAATGTTTATTTTCAGGACCACCTTAAAAAAAATAATTGAAAAAATGCTTTGGCCTCTAAAAAAAAACAAAAAATACTCAAAAAGGCGACAACTTTAAAAAAAAAAATAACAAAACCCCAAAACCTGGGCACGAAGGGCCCACATCCTCGGACACCGAGTCGCCAAACTTCGCGCAGCCCGGAGCGGAGACTCGAGGCTGAGCAAGCAATTTCAGTTCGATGATACGTCACTAGAGAAAGCAGGAAAAGAGCGCGTCACGCTAGCCTGCATTGATCGGGTTAGGATATCGTGATGGAGTTCTTGTACCCAGAACTTCCATACGAAAACATTTGGCTGATAGTTGTGCCCCTTGCGCATCAGAGTACTATAGGGGGAAAAGGATCGCCTGGAGCATTGGAGCGCGGTGGAGTGACTTCTGTTTTTAACTCGAGTTAATACGCCTCGCTCCAATGTATTGTTACACCCAAACGTAATTCTTAGGTGTGAACATGTCTCACAGGCTGGGTTTACTGAAATTGAAGGTAGAATTTGTTAATATATCTTTAGTCAACTGTAGGATCTCAGTTTTGTTTTTATTTTAGTTACAGTTTAGGAAACAATAACTTTCCATAATAACTGATTACAATTGAATCTCATTTTTACTAATACTAAATTAGTATGTATTTTTTAGGTGAAGCATTTTATAACAACATATATACAGGACAGGGTATAAATGAGTTTTCCATACCAATTCCAAGACTGCGACAGAACACCAGACGACGTTTGCATCACCAACCAACTCCCAAATTTGAAGGTCCCAAGTGGAACTGTGAGTTATGTACATTCCTTAACCACCCTATATTGGACAAATGTGAGCAGTGTGACTTCCCGAGAATATTGCACGGTACGAAAAAAGCAGAGACTATTAATCCTAACGTAACTGTTGGTACTTTGCGCATGCTTAACAATATTGATATCGGCCGTACTTCTAGATCGCTCAGTCTTAATAACGTTCCTAGGGAACAAGTCACGAGACCGATCGAATTTGTAATTAACGAAAATGACCAGCAGCCTAGCATGCCAATGCAGATTAACACCAGCCACTCAGCACCAAATATGCTTAATACAATTTTTATTAACAAAAATTAAGTTTAGTTCTAATTTATATGTGCGGCATTTTTACTGACAAATAAGACTTTTAGTGGCAATTATTGTACCTTAAGGTGTTTGCAACTTATTTCAAAGTATTTTTATATACTGTTAATATGTTGATTTAATAAAATTATATTGAAATTATTAAACAGCAATTTAATTTAGTTTTTTTGTGCATCCCTGTCAGTTATTTATTTTTAATGCTCAACAGGTCATCTAGGGCTATTCGCGAAACTTATCTAAAGTTTAAAAACGTTTCCATATAAACACGTCTATACCCCAGCAAATAAAAATGAAATGATTCATACGCCTAATCACTTAAGTTTATCGTATCATTTAGCTGTCCGTGTCGGTAATCATTCATAAATACATAAAAAAGTCAAACCGTTACTGATCATGGAATCCGGAAACCAAGGAAGGAAAATATCACATAAAAGACGAGGCCTTTCAGATCGATAGAAAGCAAAATCTTCGTTTAGATAATAAAATTCCACGTTTAAGAATACACAAATGTAGACCAATAAGTTGGACAATTTAATACAAGAAATGACCGGAATGGAAATAAATGTACTGGGCATAAGTGACGTACAATGGCCAGACACCAGCAAACTTATAACCAAAAGCGGCATGATGTATTATGCTGGAAACAACGATCCGTCTTATCGCTAGGGAGTCGAAATCTTGTTAGACACAAACTAATAAATCAGTTACCACGTCTTGCTCAGAGAGAGTGATAATGGTTCAGCTGAAGAGAAATATACAACAAGTTAACTTAATTCAAGTATACGCACCAACAGCGGATAAGGCTGAAGAGGAGATAGAACATTTTTTCATAGATTAGTCACAATTTTAAGATCTATTAAAAAGAAGACATTACAATAGCAATGGGGCACTTTAATGCTAAAGGCGGGAGAGGAAAAGTTGACGAACATGTTTGGGAATTTGGACTAGGTACAATAATGAACACAATGTTCCAACACGACAGAAGATTATAGACTTGAAGATCTCATGCAGACAACAAAGATGGCATAGTCAGAAATCAAATAAACTATATATTAGTCAAAAATATATACAAAAATCAATTAAAGCAGTAAAAGCATACCCCGGAGAAGATGTCAACTCAGACCATAACTCGCTGATAACGAGAATGTACGTGAAACTCAAAAAGATTTTTATACCTAAAAACAAATCAACGTTTGATTATACAAAATTAAGAAAAAAAGAAATACATCAAAAAGTGATCCAATAAGTCAACTCAAATCTAACAGAAGAAATCTTAACATCAGAAGATGTTAATGAAAAATGGAGCAATATTCAGAAGGCATTACTAAAGGCTGCAGAAGAAAATTTAAAGCATAAAAAGACAAATAAAAAACAGAAATGGATGACTTTAGAAATTCTAGCATTAATGAGAGAGAGAGAGAGAGAGAGAGAGAGAGAGAGAGAGAGAGAGAGAAATTTAGTGTTTTTAAAATAAGTTTACATTTATAAAACACAACATGGTATAGTACAAACAAGGCACAATAAAGTACTAATTATAAAATTTCCATAATTAAAAAAATATATCATATAGCGCAATTGTCCTCAAAAAATTCTTCTATACTATAGTGACATTTAGATCATAAAAACTTCTTGATTGCTCTTCGGAATACAAAAATATTGCTTGAAGATCTTATATCAAGTGGTACGTGATTAAACACTTTGTTACCACTGTAAACAAATGATTTTTTAATTAATGTAAAAGAGGGAATTGGAAGTGGAATAACATCATTTAAACGAGTGTTATAAGGGGAAACTGTCCGAATATCCTCTTTGTTTTTTTTTTAAATTAAGCACGCTAATTCAAGGATATACATGTAAGGAAGTGTCAAGGTACCATGTTTCCGAAACAGAGGCCTGCATGATGTACCAAACTTGACCTTGCATAAATATCTGAGTGCTCTCTTTTGTAGCATAAAATTTCTACTGAAATGGTGAAGAGAACAGCTATCCCAAAAGGCAATACCGTATCTCAAATTAGATTCAATCAATTCAATGGAAGAGAGGAAAAAAGCCAAGGAGAGAAATGAGCCAAACTATTAAGAAATACAAAGTAGAATTAAAGTAGAGATAAAAAAGGCCAAGGAAAAGTGGTTAACAGATCAATGCATAGAAATAGAAGAGTATGACAGAAAATACGACAGCTTTAATATGCATAAAAAAATAAAAGAACTAACTAATTCCAAAAAGCGAGCACACTGGGATACTCAAAGATGATAATGGTAAACTAATTGCAGACATGAAAGATAAACTAATCTTTTGGCAAGAATACATCGCTGGTTTTCGAGAATATCGGCGGAACTAAAAATGAGTGATTTTAGAGAATGGCAATTTTTAATTCCTTTGTAAATATTTTAGTGCATATTGCAAAATGTAAATGATTTATCGATGAGTCGAGTTTACTGACTAAAGGTAAACCTTTCGTAGTATCAATAAACATAAAAACTTTTTAGAACTTTTATTAAAATCATAATACGAAAATTCGTCAAAGGGACGGTTCAGACATCAGTCTTTGTTCATGGGACTCCAACGTATAAAAATCAACTAATGTCATTTATTAATTTTTGTAAAGTAATTTTTGTTTGTTATATCTAGGTATTAAAAACAATGTTTTTTAAAATAAACTTCTTCAAAAAAAGTTTCGAAAAAAAAACAGAAACATTAATTCTTAAAAGGAAATGCAAGTAACATAAATCATTTATTTTACAACGCCTCGTAAAATTGTCGATAATAGTTTGGAATAATATTTTTGTTAACTAAATCTACTAGTCCTCTCTTCTTATTTTCGGAGATTCCGTTTCTTTTTTCATAAGCAGATTGCAATCTGTAATTTTCGTCCAAAGATTTTGATGCACGACTAGTAACTTTCACACACTTAAATTCATTTTCACCGTAAGATGTTTTATAGAAGAAGAATCCTTTGTGGTCAGCATCTACTTTTAAAATCTTTATATCTGCCATTTTCACACTCTCATTATCAGTATTTTTATTAAAATTTCTACCCACGTCAGAAGCTAGCGACTTTAATTCCTAAAAACTTGTATGATCCATTTCTATGACTTTGTAAGGAGATCCGTTCTTTTTTGCAATAATTGAAATATATTGATCCTGTGTAAAGATAGGTCCTGATTTCAAAGCCTTATCTGATTTCAAAGTACTATCTTATCAACTAAACTTAATTCCTAAAATCGTTACATATATATATATATATATATATATATATATATATATATATATATATATATATATATATATATATACTTCTAGCGGTTAATGTGGGCTCCGTACTAAAACGGTATTATACTAACTCCAGGAGAATATACGCCGTGTATATTATTATCTGAGTAGCGCTTTATCTAGACTCCGACCAATGCGTCGGATCAAGTGGACTCCGTAATAGGATCAAACATTTTTGGGATCCGTATATAACTTTTCCCGTAAACTTCTTAACTCCTGCGATGTTGCCAATAATTGTATTAGTAGTAGATTTTTAAATTTTATAGGTGGTACATTTTTTAACCTATTAATATGAACATCGAGTAGCGTAATCGTCTAACAGTTTAAGAAACTCTTCTGTAAGATCTTTATAATTTTTCAATTACTGCAGTTTATGGCGTGTAATATTTATTTCATGAAGTAGTTAAAATTAGACTATAATAATTTATAAATTAATCTTTAATATTATAATTTTTTGCTGTCTAATTTCAATATGTTGATTTTTAATTAACAAAATATTTGATGCATTAAAGTCACGTAGCTATTTTCACCAAACATTCAATTTTAAAGCTATTAGTATAAAAGTCTAAATAAAAAGTATAAAAATCTAAGGAATTTAATACGGATACACACGTCAGTGTGCTTTTCTCAAGTCTCAAGTTTCTCGAATCCATCAATCATTCATTGTATTTTTAGTAGAGTATGGGCCGCTTGGGGCACCCCCCACCACTCCCACTCTGACGTCACACGGTTGCAAATGCCAAACGGCTTAACGTAGGATGACGTACGAGGGCTCGTTGGAAAGAGGATGAAAAATGGGGTTGAATGAAATATGTGCCGTGCGCATCGGAGCATGCCAAAAGATCGTTACATCATATCTTTGTTTCTATTGGTCCGATTGTAACGTACGAGGGGTCGTTGGAACGGGAAGGAGGTAACGAATACGTTGAGACAAAAAACAAAGATGGCGGCGTTGCCAAAGGGGACGCTAAAACGTATCTTCGTTGCTATTGGTTCGATCGTGACGTACGAGGCCTCGATGGAACGGGGAGAAGGTGGGGAGACAAAAAAAACAAAGATGGGGGCGTTGCCAAATGGGCGCTAAAACGTGTCTTCATTGCTATTGGTCTGATTTTGACGTATGAGGTGTCAAAGCGTTGGTGACACACAGAAGCCATGTACAAGCTCGAACATTCTTCTTCTTGTACATACAGTGCCTAAGAGAACGTCGACACAGAACGTGGTAGAACGTGAAATGTTGCTTGAATAACGTGACATTCGACATGTATTTGCGACACAAAACAAACATGCATTTACTGTTCATCGTAGCAGAAAGAACAGGGTGATAGAGCTCAACATATAATAATGTGTGACATATCGATGGGAAGGGGATGTGGTAACGATTATGTTAAGATAAAAAGTAAGCGGTAAGACAATGCCAAAACAGACGGTTGTGTGTGAGGTGTTGATGGGGAAGGGGACGTGGTAACGAATATGTTAAGATAAAAAGCAAACGCAAAGACAATACCAAAACGAACGGATCGTGATGTGTGAGGTGTTGATGAAAAGGGAGGTGGTAACAAATATGTTAAGACAAAAAGCAAACGCAAAGGCCGTGCCAAACAACGCTATGTCGTACCTCTGTTGTTATTAGTCAGATTACTACGTGTAACGTTAAATGAAAAGAAGAGGTGACGGGGAAATATGTTAAGACAAAAGACAATGACCAAAAACGCCGTTATATCGGATCTTCGTTTAGCATAATAGACATTGAAAGAAAGTGACGCTAACAGAGAATCATCGCCGAAACGTTTCTATATCAAATATTTGGGGGCATTATGGTATGAGGTGTGCAATTATTCGAATCATCTATCATAATTTAGAATGTATA